CCCCCCTTTTGGACATTTCTGGATCCGCCCCTGACATGTGCTTTCTGGGCGAAGTCCTGGAGAGGGTTAGATACTTTTACTTACAGTAACACTCATACTCAGCACTCTCCAACAACGCCTTAACAATACGTAACATTTTCTATAATTTCCGAAAAAACCAAATAGACCAAAATCCCACAAATACAATATTTGGCAGATTTATTAGAAGGGGTTCTTTAAACTATGCCCCTGGATGCCCAACTATGGAGGTTTGACCAGTTATGTAATGCCTGTGTTTTCTAGGGAAACGCTTACTTCCTCCATGTCCAAATGAGTCCCCGAAAGGCGATGGGCCCCTATTTACTACTACCGAGCAATCTAATAATACAACCGCTTTTGACAAAATATTTTCTTTTAATTTTTAAAAAAATGTGTGAGCCCCGGACGGCTGCATAACTACCCACCTTAAATTCCGCCTCCGACTTTAAACATGTCAGTAAATAAAGAATAAAATATATGGTTATCCATCATAGTAGGCCTATTATTAAATATTATACACAGCATGTTGAAATCGATTAAAATAATGTATACATTAAAGGCCTACTAATAATTCAGATATTCGGATGATAAACGCCTGCAACATCATCAAATGTGACTTTATAATTGGTCTATATCGCTGTAAATATGTATTATGTTGTTTAGGTGTAATGACAATAAATGATCAGTGTATAAGGTCAGGGCGGATCCAGGATTTGAAATAGGGGGGTTCATTTTCCCATAAACCCAAAAATGAAAGGGGGTCCGGGGTCCTCCCCCGGGAAAATTTCGATTCCTAGATGGCCGGAAATATAAGCTTTCCCGACTTCTGAGGTGTCTTTTAATGACCTTTAATTTCTTCAAAATTCAAGGTTTTACCCCTCTTAAGAAAGGTCAGCTGATTTTATCTCATTCTTAGGCCTATACCAAAGAAAATAAATCAAAAATATAGTCAATATATTATTAGGCCTATATCATACCAAGTCTCACGCATCCGGCGTGAAACTTACGTTTTTCGAACAAACCTCAAGCTCAAGCCACTCCTCTAAAATCTTACGCTTTTCCACTAATCTCTAGCTTTGTTTGATTAAACCCAAACTTTTTATCGAATAATATAAACCTTCGCAATTCTATATTTTATCAGGCCCAGATCATCGAAAATTCTATCGTTCCTGTTATAGCTACTCATTTTAAAAGTTTAATTTCAGCACTAGAGATATTCAGAGTACCCAGGGAGCATCTAAGCCCAACATTTTTCGGGGCCCTTGGACGGGCCCTCGACTCATGTCAATTAGGTTATTTCCTGTTAATTCTCAAGCCTCTAGCTATCTCCAGCTTGGCATGTATTCTATATTCCAACATTATTGAGTAGTTGGATTGTTTCTTCCATAGATCGATGAACTGATAGGCCTGAAGAATACACTTTCGTACATAATTATTACGACGTCGAGCCAAAACAGTGTTTCTAATGTATTTAATTGAATGCTAGTTGGGCTAAGCCTATATTATTATATAATACGCATACTTTATAAAACATAAATTAACCTAATTTTCTGATAAACAAATTAAATCCCATTAATTAAATGAAATATATTTAATGATATAGGCGTATTTGCTACCATGAACCGTAACACACAATTTGAAATAAAGGTAGGCGTATGATGACATAATTAATGTCGAAATATTGAATCCCAACACGATGGCGTGTAT